CGAACAGCCCACCTGAGGGTGACCCTGCAGAGCCCCCCATAGAGAATCTATGGGGGGCTCTGCAGGGTCACCCTCAGTTGGGATCTCGAGTGGGCTCTGCAAGGGGTGTAACTAGAAATCACGGGGGCCCCATACAAAATTTTGCTGTGGGGCCCTGTGATTTCTAGTTACGCCCCTGCGCTAACGAATTTTCGTCTGAATCCGAATTCCGAAACAAATTGACTTTCGGAGCCGCATCCCGAAAAACAAAATAACGCAAAATCCGAATTTTTGGCCTAGTATTTTTGACCCCTAAAAAAGTGAAGTCCGGGGTCAAATAATCCGATGAGCTGCCATTGGACGGTGGGAGTTTCTGGATCAAGATTCATTTTGATACATTCGGACTTCGCTTTTTAGATTTGATATTTGGATACATTGTATGAAATCGGAATTGTTTCATGTTCATACAGTGTCAGAATTTAGCGCTTCCTTATATGTGATTTGTTTTATATAATACACTGAGTGGCCAGATTATTATGACCCCCCCATCAGTACTTCGTTGGGCCGCCTGGTGACTCCACGAGATGATGAAAGGTGATGCGAGGAATCTGACACTGCACTGTTGCACTTCTGTTGTCTTGTACCAGCCTTGCCCCTCCCCCGTTCTGCCCTAACATTGACTAGTCGCTGACGGACACAATTCACACGTTCAGACCCAGATTTTCGGCTGACAGTCCGGTCTTTAAACACTTTAACAATGAGCCCCTCTTGAACATGTAACGAATTCTGCTGTTTTGCTGATACTCGCTCCATGGCTCCGAGCGCCAACAATCATCCCGCGTTCAAAGGCTGTTAAATCGCGTTGTTTCCCCGTATCTTCAGAAACAAATCACTTCTACTGTCGTGGTAACCAACCCGCTTCCCTATTTATAATGGTCTGGCCCTCTAGCAACTTCAGTGCCAAATTATAGCTAATTTGCCTACAAACGTCAGGTGGTCATAATAATCCGGCCACTCAGTGTATAAGGTGTGGCACTGAGCTCCTATATGATTCTCGGCCCCCATCCCCCTAATTTCCTGACCGTCATCCATTTTCCTATCTTTATTGTCCCAGGAGAGGGGCGGCTGTCTGGACATCTGCTGCTCATTCTATGGCCGGGTTAAAAGCCTGAACATCAATATACCTCTCAGATGCTCAGCCCTCCATCACTTACTGGCGGACTTCTTACAGCGCATGTAACCCCCATAAGGAAAGCAATAAATGCTCGCAGGGAAGGTGTTCAATAATATCAAATCATTCTGCTTTTTAAAAGGTGAACTCCGGGCGCTCTCATTGAAATGTATTCCTCAATAGCCTCAAAGGATATAAAGCAACTTTGTGAGCACCAAATACCTTTACAAATTCAGATATTACCTTGTGAAAGTAGCAGTGACATCATCACTGTGCTGTACATAGCCTGTGCAGAGAACAGAGCTGTGGGAGGGACCCAGAAAGCCCCACCCACTACAATCAGGAGGGGGCGGAGCTGTGATGAATTCCAATCTTTCCTCTCCCGATGGAAACCAAATGAGAAATAATGGCGCTCTCCTTCCATAACACATCATTATAATAACTTCCAGGCAGAAGATCTGATAACGAGGTCGGAATACAACCTGAGCCGATCTGATCAATCACAAATCACATCCAGTGTAGGAGACAAGACCGGTCACTCTACACAGGGGAGAGAGAGCAGCAGTGCGTGGTCTTTATTACTGGCTGAGGCGTTGCCAGCAAAGTTCTGTCACTTTTTTTACCAATAGCTGAACAGGCTTGCAGTATGATGGCAGTTCCTGTTTCAGGGTGACAACGCCACCACTGTATTGTAAGGCAGTAGTTTAGTGTTGTCATGCTGCAAAAAAAAAAAAGCGCCAGTGATAAAATGTGAATATTTTTTTATGTAATTTTCAGTAATATTTTTTAAAAATGTGAAAAGCCTAAAAAAACCTCTGAATCCCCCAAACCGGCCAAACATCTGGAAGCGTCAGTGTGAAATAATGGGCATTATTCTGATATGAAAAAGAAGACGATGGCGGTGATTGGAGATTTTGTGTTGTTCTGCTTTTAATTTTGCTCACATCCTGTTTCCAGAAAATACCAGAGTGGTACATTTTTTTGAGCGTTGCGATATATCGCCTGGGCTCTGAGTCATAAACGGTTGTAATTTGCCTCACAATTAGCAGCAATTGTGTCATGTGCATCCCCATCATGTTAATGAGCTGGAGCGTTGAAATGAGGCTGGATATCTGATGACAGCACTGTGCCAACCTGTGTGCAAAGGACACGACGGAGGCTGTCCACGTACAAGTGTGTGCACCCAGATATACGTATATATGTTGGTCATATAATGGCCATTGGGTGGCTACTTGTGAACAGAGAGTTACGTTATACTCATCACCGGGCTTCATATCTGGGGAGAGGAGGAAAAACCTTTTACACAATGTTCTGTTGTAAAGGAAACCTGTCCTTGAGTGGAAGGGAGGTGCTCTGTAGTCCTGAAGCACTTCCTCTGCAAGGGTGACAACACTGCTCCTCCATAGATACAGTATGGTAAACGTTGTCATATAGGACAGGAAGTGCGTTGTCGGCAGGTTTACCAGCTTATAATGATGTGAAGGGGGGGGGGTTATACCTTACCATGGTGCAGGCAGGCTTCTGATGTGAAGGGGGGACTCTAAAATGAAGGGGGGCTCTGATGTAAAGGGGGGGCTCTGATGTGAAGGGGGGGCTCTGATACTTTTGCAAGCCACTCATATGCAGCAGGGGTTGGGTGGAATGTAAAAAAAAATGCTCGGAGTTCTGCTTTCATTTTTAGTAGATTTGAAGAGGACTGTCTGTAAATAAAGATTGTTATCCCGGCGTTAAAGCTTTGTGAACTGAAGAAGGGGCTCCTCTGCATCCATATATAATGCCATTTAAAGATTTGGGTTTTGCCCATCCATCCCAATTTCCTTCCACGTCATGTCATGTGTGCAGAACATGTCGGCCAGCTCTGTGTGTCGCTGGCAGTGTCTGCGGCGATGTCTGCAGACATGTGTACATGGCCGGGCTCTATGATGATGCTGAGCAGCCCCTGTCATAAAGATAGTGGGGGTGGGTCCCTTTCCTGTCTCTGATTTGGGATCCTTAATAAAATGTCAGGGGCCCCTCCCCCCCTCCCCCACCAGGATCCGTCAGCTGCAGATCCCCGGTCCCCGTTAAGCCTTTTTTTTGTGTGTGCTGATTAACCCCTCAGACGCCGCAGCAGCTCGTCTCCTCCATCCTAGCCTCCTGCACTGCGGGCCCCATTCTGGCCCCGACAGGGTTACAGCCGGTGGTGCTGATGCTGCTGCTGGTTGCTGATTGGCTGGAGCCAGGAGATGCAGCATCCAGAGGCAGAGAGGCAGCGGCTCCATCATCAGGGACCAGCATCACAGCCTCCTCTCTACACCGTCCAGGAGCACCCAGCCCCGGGCACCCACACCCAACCTCGGGCCCAGGAGATCACCCACCCACAATACAGAGGACGCCATCTTTACACCGGAGGAGCACAGGAGCCTGCATCTCATTGCAACGCCATCTTTTTCATTTGGATTTTCTTTTTTTTTTTTTCCTTCTGGTGAAGAGGTGGATTGGGGTGGTGGGCTGATCTGAGGCTCGTTCATTCCTGGAGCTGGATCCTATGATGCACAAACATCATCATTGCTGCAAGTGCCCAGAGTGTTACGAGGCATCCCGAATGTCTGCCCTGCGCAGGATGGAGCCCCCGACCTATGGAGAGTGGCAGCATGAGCAGTACTCGGGCGGCTATGGGGGGTACAGCTCCCAGACCCTCCCGACGCAGCCCGCGGTCACCCCGACCGCCCGAGGGAAAGCCAAGCTGGTCCCCGCCACCCGGGAGAACCTCACCCCGACCTTGAAAGGGCCCCCCAAAAGCGCCACCCCGAAAATGAACGGCAGCGGACCCAACTGGTGGCCCGAGTGCACCTGCACCAACCGCGAGTGGTATGAGCAGGTGAGTCATGGCACCCCAACAGGTACATGTATTGGTGCACTTCTGCCCAACCTCAGGGCACCCCTGGAGTAGTCTGTATAAGCCGGATTTATGTATGTGATGGATCGATCATAGATAATAAATCGATAGATGATGAGATAGATAGATAGATTGATTCATAGCAGATAGATAGAAATATATTGATATAGATACTCAATAGATAGATATAGATACTCAATAGATAGACATAGATAGATAATAGATAGCTATAGATACTCAATGGATAGATATAGATACTCAATAGATAGATATAGATAATAGATAGGTATATGCTGAATAGATAGATATAGATACTCAATAGATAGCTATAGATACTCAATGGATAGATATGGATGCTCAATAGATAGATATAGATACTCCATAGATATAGATACTCAATGGATGGATATAGATACTCAATAGATAGATACAGAGATGGATGTTGTAGGCAGGCACATTATATAACATATGCCATGTACTTGTGTACTCTGTGTGGGTGTATATACTTGGCATTGTGTAATATCAGGGATGTACATAGATATACAGAGCCAAGCTTTCAGACAATCAATATTCTATCTATCTATAATCCTTATTTGAGATC